TACGTTATCTTCGAATAACGCTAGTATCAGATATGAATGTCAAATATCGTGCTACCATTATCAAATGCAAAAACTAGTATTTATTAAGAAAAAATAAAATAAAAAATAAAACATTTATGTCTTATTCGTCACTCTTTTTTGAGCCACCCCGTATACTTTAAAATAATTTGAAATTGTGCATCCCAACAATTTTGCCAACTTTTGTATTTACCATCTTCTCATAACTTTTGAGACAATGAACTTTATTCTACCGTGGACTTAGCCTGTACAATATCCTTTTTAAATATATCTACTCGATTATAACACAAATTAAAGACATTTACTTAGTTAAAACGGATCCACTCTTGTCAAAACAGATTCCATCTTTTTCGCAATTTTTCCTAATTATCTCGACGAGTTAAGTGCTTGTCTTTAATAACATTTTTATTTAGGTGTTTTATTATCTCCAAACAATGTTTGCTTATATTTTACTGTTTTGAAATTGGAATTTTGTTGTTATGTGATTTTTTTAAGACGCCGACGTTACAGCTTAATCAGAAAAAAAACAACGAAACCTTGCGAATTGGGGAGAGATGCGAGATAATTGAGTAGTCTTTCCCATACCCTAAAAGAAAAGAATTATCAATATTATCTTCTTCAAAAATACTTTCTTCTTTTTTATTGATTGAAAAATCTGACTTTAAATGTTATTTAAGATCAACAAAGGTCAATCTACAAAGAAAATTTTTTCATTCGAACTGACAATTTCAAAATCTTGAATCAAAATAGATATTTTTGTCAAATTAGTTAATCACAATATTATTAATCGTAATAAATCTTTATACTCTATACTTCTTGTACAAATATCCTAAATATTTTTATAATTAATATTAATAATAATAGATCAAAACGAAGGATTTGGTAGATTTTTGACGAGTTAAGTGCTTGTCTTTAATACCATGTTTATTTAGGTATTTTATTATCGCCAATATTTGCTTGTATCTGAATAAATAAATACTTTTTAATAGAAATTAAAATTCACCTTACTTTTTGAACACGCCTCGTACATTAGCGAGAAAAAGAGAGAGCAACAAAAGGGACGCGACGTAATAATTAAGACGGCTCATTAAACGCACATATCTGTGGCGGAGATAATGTTTCTATTATCGGTGTGTATTTCATAATTTGACCACAGCTGTTGGCGTTCGCGACACTTACGACAGAACAACGCCCCAGCGTTTACAACTGTTACGAAAAAAAAAACTATATAAAAAACGTCGTGTCGAGGGCCTGAATGGGCCCCGGGCCATTCGTCAAAAACGTTGGCAAAATAAAAACCAGGGTAGGGACGCGCGTGTTGTTTTCGGGAGGCCCACGATGCTCCGGCCTAGGCCGGAATACCGCCGATCGGTGCCGATTAAACGCTTTCGGCCTTATTTTTGTAGCTGAAAATAAGTTTCTTTTGAAAATTCCATCTTGATTTTTAGTTAAAAAAAATGCTTCCAATTTCTTCGAATGCAAACGCAATGCATTTCTGTTTAAACTTAGAATTTTTAGTTTTTTTTTAGGGAGTGGCACCTTCAGACCATGTCCCTTTGAGAATTTCCATAATTTTTGCCCTAAGAAATGGAATTTATCGTAATTTTTTATATATGTGGAAGACATAATAATAATAATAAAAACTCATTTGATACCTCATTGATATTGCTATACTGCTGACCCATAATTTGAGATCTACGGAAGCTGAGAAAGTTCGAAAATATGATGACCTGGCTAACCAGCTAAAACAAAACTGGTGTCTTAACGAAGTAACCATATGTTTTTTGTTACAAAAAATTTCAAGAAAAACCTGGAAAAACTAGACATGCATAATAACGTCTTTGATGTATCAGAAAAACTTATAATTCAACAGATATGTCACATTGTTCGAAAATTTTTGAGATTAGGTGAAGTAGGATAGGATGACGTTCCTCTCTGCCAATGCCACATCACAAAGCAAAGAAATCTGAGACAGATAACTATAATAATAATAATAATATTAAAGGTTATTATGAAACAGGTGTGGTTCAGTTCAGATTGCAGGAATGCTAAAGGTCATTACACTAAACCTAATTACTGTTATAAACAAATACAGGAAAATGGACTAATCATAACATGTGACAATCTTAAATGTGCAATTTGAAGCATTCACAAAAAAATAAAAATAAAAATAAAAGAGATACGAGCCCATGCACACGTCTTACATATTAACTAAAACACCAATATTTTAAATTAGATAATTATTGTTTTGGTAACAAAAATGTGTATAGCTACCTGTTGAAAGCATAATTACCCTTTATTTTGAATACATTTGGTTAGTTTCGGTTAATATTTATGATGATTATGTACGTCAGTCCTAAAGCTAATTTTCTTTAGGGTCTTTAGCGCAATTGTAGAGATAGTTTGCCTATTTAACCGTTTGTTTTGATCTAAAGTATAACTAACATGTTGAAATTTGTAAATGCCATATATCCAAAGTTTAAAAGAACTTCGTGTCTTCAGTATTGCGTACTTATTTTGCGCTGGTAACAGAGACATATCACAATGTGTCATTTGAGATAGGACTAATGAATCGCAAAGTAACGATTTAAGAAAGTATGTCTAAGTGGAAAGATTAATTTTTTATTTGATCTTTAAAAGGCTTACCTTCTTCTGACCTTTACCTTCAAAAATTTTATTTTGTATGTAATGCTACCAAAACCTATTGACGTAGTTTTGTCAGTATTGAGCTTGAGGCAATGATTCTTAGGAAATATTGTGACCTTTTAAAGGTTGTAGTTTAAAGCAGAAATTGCCTGATTGGCTTCATCGATCAAAAATGAAAGTTATCGTCGGCATAAAAGGGATGCAGACACGAAAAACACTTTTCAGAATTGGGAAATATAAATAGAGAATAACAGAGGTCCCAAAACAGAACCCTGAGGGATTCCAGATGATATTTAGAAAAATCTGAATCTTCACCAAATTTATTATTAATGGAGACCCATACTCGTATACCCATAAATTTAATTTTTCTTTTAAGCGAAAAATGTAAATAATGCATGCATCTTGAGATCATTACTTTAATTATTCTCAGTCCCATATTTTCAAGTCGAAATTTTAACATCCTCTGCCGAAATTAGAATCGTAATCGTAAGAAAATTAATTGCAAGATAAAATCACCTACAAAATCGGAGTACGAAACATAATTGAATGTCATAAAATGGTCAAAAGATTGGTAAAATTTTATTTCGTTGTCGCTGTTTTAAATTAAAACAATCAGGTTAGATATTTTAGGTTTTTACTCAGACCTGGCGCGGGTTTAGTAGGCCCGGCCCACTTTTTTACGGATTACACATGTAGATGGGCGCCGCCACGCCAAGTGAGTTTTCATAATGGCGCACTTGATCAGGCGACCGTCATCCCCAGACAATTGCGTCTACAATGTGCACAGAATGATAAAAAGCGGTCTAGGATAATACTATAACGATTAACGAACCCTTTGACCGTTTTTTTTTCTGAGGTCGGACACTCGAACATGTGCGTTGAAACTGGACTGAATGGGGCGGCCATTTAAAATGATTCGCACGACTCCCACAAGAATTAAAACTGGAATGAATTTCTAAACGGGGAACAAGTGACTCTGCACAGGGTGAGTCGACAAGAGAGTTTGGTTTAGAAAATTATGAGAAAATGCTAAACACAAAAGTTGTAAAGATTTGTTAGGATACACAATTTAATTTTTTTTTGGAGTATACATGGTGGTTCAAAAAAGGGCTAATGAAATATACATTACAAAAAATGAACCACTCAATTTTGAAAGTTTGTTTTGAATTCTTTTCAAAATTCCTCAACAACTGTATATAATAATAATACACGCTTAAAGCTTAACGGTTGCACACTTGCATCGGAATTTCAGTTAGATGCTAGGCTAGAGAGTCTTCAAAACAAACGAATATATTTGGAACAAATTTTAAAAACATCGATTTTCTTAAAGAGCATTAAGCACATCCTACATCTATTTTCAACATTTCGCGATTTATTTTACCTTTTTCAATATTTACGGCAGTTTTTTTGCCCATTGCCCTGTATATAAAAACTGACAGAAGCAGAGGTTCTCGTCCTGGATCTCCCATAATACTTTTCTGAAACTAAGCCTAAATAGTAAATGACGTCATCGCGTCTAGACTGGGCAATAGGAATATATGGATTTTTTCAAATATCTCGAGCAGCGTGTGTGATAGACGAAAACCGTAAATACAGAAATTGTAACTCTTCATGCGGGCTATCACACTGTTTGAAACGATTAACCAGATTTGTTAGAGAATTTTGATTGACGATTAATAATTTACGAGAGAAAAACAACAATTTTCAAGGTCTTTTAGATTTTTGTCCATAACTAAGACACCCTGTACATGATCGACAAAATGCATAAATTGAAAATTATAGCCCCGGATCTCCCGCGTCTCACAGTTCAAAAATTTTGCCGATAGGGTGAACGGTTATGGAGGAAAACATATTTTTCTGGAAACCAACCAAAACTAACCAAAAAAAAATTCATTTTTTCTTAACTTCTTGAAATTTGATAGCACCCAATTTCTACTATTTAAATGTGCTCACGGACCTTTTCTTCTCTGCTAAACGTTGATGTCTGCCTGTATATTTCTGAAAAATTGTCAATAATAAAAGTTTATCTCTTGCGTCTTCTGGTTCAAGATTTTTTCAGTCGAAAATCGCAAAAAAAAGATGGATGTCGGCGTCGGATCGAGGTCATTTCTTACAGGCTTATGGTAGGAGGTAAATCTCAAGTTCGTAGCTCAAACGGTTACAAAGTTATTCGGCAAAAAACAAAAGACAAAAAAATATTTAGTTCGATCATTTCTGCACCAACGGTGGTCCTCTAGGGCCGATCGTTACCGAGATCTCGAGTTTAGTGAGGAGCGCGTATACTTAAAAAAAAAAGCCTTCCTTCATAATTTATGTCCTATTTTTCAACGACGTACCTTGATCGCATAAAATTCCTCCCCAGTTCGTGTCGCAGATGCACTGCCACGACGAACCATTGCAGTAACCGTGCTTGCATCCAGGGTAGGGCTCGCATTGGTCGCAAAAATCACCCCTCCATCCAGGTCGACAACTGTAACGCAAAAGTCCTATTTGGAACGCGATTCGAATTACAACTAAATCTATATATCGAAAAAACAAAAATTCCGGCAGTGCGACTGAATTTAAGGGCGCACAGTGGGAAACGAAAACCGTAAATTTTACTTAATATTAATAAAAACACAACAAAAAAAAAACAAAATCAACTCTATTTTTACAAACAGTTTTTAATTAAATCATGAAAAAACACAATGAAGTGTATCCCCAAAGTAACAATTTTACAAAAAAAGTTATTTATTTTCGATCGTTTGGTTTTAGCAGCATGGTGTTCGTGGATTCGTTGAAGGGGATCAATAGAATGGCTTGCAAGATCTCCAGATATTACACCAATGGATTTTTCCTCTGGGGACATTTAAAATAAAAAAAACACAAAATCGATTATTATGGTAGGCATTTTTAACACCTAATAATATAATTTCTTTTAAATGTCCTATAAATTTCCTCTTTCCTTTCCTCACTGTGGATTTTGTAATGGGTCTTTTGGGATATTTTGCCTTAAACAAAGCACAAACTTTATCAATAAATGAATTTGTTCACTGTATATAATATTAAATATACTTTAAGGATGCAAGAAAGTGTTCAATCCTCTCTAATAGTTGTACAAGTTAGAAGAGAAGATGGATGAAATTTGAGGACCCTCGAATGGGAGAGTATTTATCAAGAGGTCATAAATACGAGGAATTTTTAAATATATATACTTTTCAATTTTTATTAAGTAAGTAGGATGGAAAAAATTCTGTAACTAAAAGACGCGCGAGATTCGGACCAAAAACTTTTATTCTTGATGATTTTTTAGAAATGTACAACAACAAACAAATAATGGTTAATGATAATTGGTTATAACTAGAAGACGATGATGTATCAGTTGTATCAGGAATTTTGTTTTTGTCTAGTAGGCGGTAAAAGAAAATAGGCGAAACGATAGCTAAATAGGTAGACCACGTCACATGTCAATTCATTAAATCACTTCCAAGAAAAAGAAATTATAAGGAATATGCAAACAATGAAAGTTTAATAAAAATCCTTTTTTGTTATCTAAACAATGTAGAATCACATTGTGTCGTACATCGTCGTATCCAGACATTTTTATCTTGGACACACTGTATAGTAAACTAACCTTTATTCTCAATAAGGAATCACCCCATAAAATATCAAAATGTCGGTACAGAGAAACCACTGCCGCGTGTTTTACTTGATCAGTTTCCACGACCATACGCCAATTAAAAAGTATACCTATATTTGAGATGAAAATATTGCGTGAGCCGATCATCTTGCCGGTGAACGTACTTAATTTATTTCCAGCGCAAAGTGGCTTTATAGTCTCTATGCCGCGCGTTGCCGTTAAAACTATATATGTATATATTCGTAAATTGGACTCGAAAAAATATTATCTTCGGTAACTGTAAGTAATGAACTTTGTTATCAGCCTATTATGGTAATAACAGCGCCCGCGGATGCAGGCCGATTTTAATGGTTGTTCAGACGATATACCGGGCGACATAGAAAGCCCTTTGCACATTTTTAGACGCCCAGGCTAAGTCGATTTATTTTTGATTAACTTTAACTAAATTTACTCACATTTTATTATTATAATTATTAGTATATTATTAGCCCCAAATGTAAACTAACTGCACAGAAATTAATATTAATTAATTATTCAGCGCTTCAAACAAACATCTTCATTTCCCTCGCATCTAGGATATTGCTAAAAGAATTTAAAAAACAACCTTTAAAAATAAAATTCAACCAATAGAATCAAGCCTACGTATTTTACATGCATTTTGAACGGCAATTTTTTACTGTTAAAAATTAAAGAGCTTCAATCATTAAAAGATGCTTGCACAAAAACACACTCTCTCCTAATTATAATGTTATATATAATAATTGTAATTATTAATTAAAAAGTATTTAATAAAAAAAACTCTTTTTCTATAGACTAAAAAGTTTGTTATTGGTATTTATAAGATTTTCGAAAGGTCGGGCTTTAGGCCAAATCCATAGGATTATCCTGAAAATAACACTTTCAATAAATTGCCGCTTATTTTTGGAATTTTTAGGCGGTCATAGCCAGAATTTATAATTATTAGAAGAAAAAACGAGAAAAAAATATTGAACTGAGTTGGCTTTTTCTTGATGAAAATCCATTTAATAAAATAAATAAGAACTAAAAGTTCAGATTTTCACGGAATTATATTTTTTCACATGACAATTGTTTCGACAACACCGTGTCTTTATCAAATGTAATATTTACAAACTACCTGCTACTATATATACCGAAAAATGAAAATAGAACCTTAATGTTGTGAGAATTTAAGTTTAATAATGGATAAGCATTTAAATCTTATTGATCGTTAACCAATACATTAACTTTAATTTTTAATTAATTAAGTGTGTAGCATAATTAGAATCTTGCCTATTGTTTTTAAACGCTCTTTTATGGTCGTTAATGCGTTTCTTGAAGGATCTACTCGTTTGGCCAATATAAATTTGAGGACATGATCCGCATTGTTTTTAAAAAAAATTCCTACAGTGTGCGTGTGTGTGTGTGGATTTCCAGAAAACAGTAAACTCTAATTATCCTAAACCTAATACAGAACACGAACAATTAAAAACATACATAGGAGAACCCAGTGAAAAAGTTTCAAAACATTTGTCAAAATGTGGTTTAAAAATAGCTTTCAGAATTAACAACACAATAGGATATTTTTTTAACAACAATAAAACGAAGTGTCCAAAATCTCAAAGATCAGGTGTCTACAGGTTGAAACGCGTATCATGTCCTAAAATTGTGGTTAATTTTACCCACCACCCCCCCATAACTTTTTGAATGGGTCGACTTTGAATAAATGTTAACAAGCCAGCAGTTTTTGAATTAAATCTTTTGCCAAAATTTTTAGACAATAAATCAATCATCAGTAAGATACATTTTGACAGTGACAACACGAAAATTCGTGACAGTGACAATATTTTTATTTGTGATTGTTGTACGAAAATCTTAACCATTTACAAAACGCAATTGCCTTAGAATATGACAGGATTTCACAATATCAACTAAACAATGTCAGAAGTTTACTTTAAATAATGTTTCTTTTTAGCAATGTCTTGTTGCCGTATTTTCATTCCAATTTTTACTTAGTTTTAATAAAAGACTTGAGGGTCAAATTTATAGTCGTTCCCTGAAGCTTCCTTGTTGCTTAAACCGTCCTTTAAATGAAATTTATTCCAAGAACGCTTTATGGGACAAGAAGGTCTTAAGAACCGGGTATGAATTTGTATTCTAATTTTGGAAAAAATAATTTTGAATAATATCGGTAAAAAAAGTTGGGACAATAACTAAAATAAAAATTTTGAAAAATTCCACAGAGTAATTTGCTAATTAATAAATGGTTTCTAAAATTTTCTTGATTTTTTGAAGCTAGCGGTTAAATCGAATCACGTATATTTTACGCATTATGTTGTATTTTTAATTACCATAGATGATTACAACAGAATACTAATTTTCAAAAAAATATTTTTCTCTTCCTACGGCTTAACTCATTTTGTCCCTGTGGTGGCGTCAATGCACCACCTATTTTATTATTATCACTACTAAAGGACATAAAACCGTACAAATCGCTAATTTATGTGTAAAGGAAAGATCTTATATATGACTTAAAAAGTTAACAAAAGCGGTGCATAAATTTGTATCACATTTTGTTAAGTCTACAGCATGTAGATTACATCTCAGAAAACATACATTGGAAATACTATATTGATTATGCTTTATTTTTTGAAAGTATTTTCTGGTGCGGTAGTAGATGTAGAATCCGCCACAGCCACACAATTTACGTTTGTAATAAGTGTAATGTGCATTTACATACTTCATGCTTTGTAAAATATCACCAAAAATGAAACCGATGGTTACCAGTGGGTGCGCTCACGCGCCATAAAAAATTATGCGTTTTTTTTGTATCAAATCAGGTTCTATTTGGAAAACAATCTACTTTTAGTTGTTTTCTGTCGAATTTGAACTTTCTTTTGCATATTTATGTATAAATTATATGTTACATCCAAAACATTATTTAATGTTTTTTCCCAATTTACGCACCAGTATTTTTTTGTATGTTTCGAGTTTTTGTGTTTTTTTTTTGACACATATAATGTATTCTTAAGTGCAACAAAATGAATAATTTCAAAGCAAAAAAGCATTTTTTTATTTTCTTTTATGCTTGGGATAATATGCGTTAAAACAATTGTAAATGAACATATAACCGAACAAAAATAAACGTTAATCACTTACATCGAAAGCACACCAATTCGAAAAAGAATAAACACCTGCTACTCCGTCTCCTGCTTGTTATTGTTAGATTTATTCGTTACGGCCGTATTTTAACGATGCACTTCTATTTTAATTCGCTCAAAAACGAACCGAACAAGATAACAATCGATTAAAATTTATCTGATTAACACAAGAACTAAAAATGTTTGTTAGTAAAAAAAAAACACGGTTGCTACTTGAGCTTGTAATAAAAAATAAAATTGCTACAAATGTCGTTCACCTACAGTTACATAAACTGACGTTCGAAAGACAATAATTGGTTGATAATTTTTTATTAATTAATTTTGTTATTCATTTTATAAGTTTGTTTAAATTTTCTTTTCAAAGATGCACCTACCGTAGGTTGATAAAATAATGGGTGTTTATTAAATAGGTACTGATACTTGCAGGTATAAATCATTGGGTGATTTTCATAAAAACATTAAAAATAATTAATTAAATAAAAAATGCCCCCCAAAAATGCTCCTAAAGCTACTTAAAAAACTTGTTTGTGGAAAATAGCGCGAATCACCCTTTTATTTTAAAAAGAAGGCGCTTCGCGGATTCTTGTCCTAGAGGGGCGCATTGTTTTTCTATCGTGCTCCTGCGAACCACTATGGAACTTTCGCAAAATCGATGTAATTTGATTGTGAATACACCCTATATAAAGTGTCCTT